CTTCACATTGAAATTTATTATCTTTTATTCTCATCCGTTTTTTCCAAGTGTTTCCAAGTGTTGCAAATAGAACTTCACACTAAAATTTGAGACATTCATAACAAAACTTTTATGAAAAAAATCGCCCGCCACTTTCTTAAAAAAAAATACAGTGACCCAAATATAAACTGGGACGCGACATTTTAGCAAGTTTTGGCAGTAGTAGTGCACTTTAGCGGAACCAAATCACTTCCATTTAAAAAGGGTAAAAACCTGGCTGCAGTCGACATTGTTTATTACTTTGTCTTTAGGTTTGTGTATGTATTCTAAGCGTACACCGAATGTTTTGTATCACAGAACCAATCTGAGATTATTGAAGATATTTTGCTGCAAAGCAACGATTATAGATTGTTAGTTTACCTTACAAAATTGGGGAGGAATATTACCGAGTTTACGGAAAAGTTTATTTTTTTACATTTTTTATTTTGAATAGCGTCTGGTCCGGCTATTCGGTTTACTATACAGGTAGGTAGAGCTATGAATTTAAAAAATACATTCGGGTTTAGTTGAGATATTCGGTTTTGACCACTATGTTTTGTACATTTCCCAGCACTGCAAAGCTTTTGACTGCCGTTCACCTGGGAGTGGCGTAACACCCCGCTAAAGTGGGAGGGCGTAACACCCCGCGTGCCCTGGGAGTCCCGCCACGTTAAAACCCTGCCCAATGAAAAAAAACCACATGCCTCGTATGATACCCACTGCTTTTGATGACGATCACGGCAAACACAGGAAGGAATATGATTTGGGGGTACGCATCTGGAATATCCGAACTCTTAATCGGTAAGGTGCCTCTGCCCGGCTGGTAGATGTCCTAGGGAAAATAAAGGCTGACGTCACCGCCATCCATGAAATGTGATGGACGTGGCGAGGAAGGTAAGCGTGGAGCCTTACGACGTCTACTACAGTTGCCACGTAAAGGAGCGCAAGTCGGTATTGAATTTGTGGTGAAAGAGAGGCCGGCGTTCACTCTCGTGGACGAATGTCTAGCCACAATCCGCATCAAAGCGAGATTCTTCAACAACTCGCCCATATGTGCCAATGCCCCGATGGAAGAGAAGTACGAGAGGCAAACAAGGATCTCTTAGCTTAAAGCGTACATATTAGCGCTGCCTCCGACACGTATAAAAATCGTGCTTTACGATTTAAATGCCAAGGTGGGCAGCGAAAGGATCTTTGGCGCCAGTGTCAGAAAGTTCAACCTCCACATAGAAACGGTGGGCTGAGGCTGATCGACTTCGCCGGGGCGAAACTTGGCAGTATGTAGTACAAAAAGATACATCAAGCTACATGGGTGGCTCCAGATCGAAAAACAGGAAACCAAATCGAGCATGTTGTGATAGACGGAAGGCATGCTTCCAGTGTTTTAGATGTACATACGCACACTCCGAGGGCCAAACATCGACTGGCAGCACTATATTGATGCAGCCAATATACGACCCCACCTCGGTCCAGCAAAAAAAGGGCCCCCAACAATGCAAGGAAAGTTCAACGTCGAAAAGCTGCAATCAAAACAGACGGCCAATGGATTCACCGCTCGACTCTCACACCTGCTGTGAGAGAGAACTCTTCAACAAACCGACATACGCGAGCAGTGGAACCTCATTTCCCGTTCACTACTGGTACGATGAGGAGTGTCAAGAAGCTGCAGAGAAAAATGCTTGAAATGCTGGCCGACAGAAAAACCACCCGACATTTTTAACAGGGAGCTGAGCGACTTTCGGAATGTTTGAAGGCCCCTGTAGGAACAACCATGGCGACTGAAAGAAGTGGAGAGGACGAACCCAAGTTCCCAGTCGATGACGATGGAATCGATATCCCAGCGCCTGACTATGACGAGGTACGAATAGCGATTATGCTGATGAAAAGTAACAAAGCTGCTTGAGCTGACGGCCTGTCAGCTGAGCTATTCAATTACGATGGCAAAGAGCTAATAAGGTGCATGCCCAACGACTGGAATTCGAGCGCGCTCTGCCCAATCCACAAGAAAGGCGACCCCGCTATGCGTGCCAACTACCGCGGGATCAGCCTTCTAAGCATAGGTTGCAAGGTCTTATCGAATGCATTGTGTGAAAGACTGAATATCACCGTCAATGAACTGATTGGGCCTTATCAGTGTGGCTTTAGACCTGGCAAATCCACCATAGACCAGGTATTCACAATACGCCAAATCTTGGAAAAAACCCGCGAGAAAAAGATCGACACTCACCACCTATTTGTAGACTTTAAAGCCGCTTTTGACAGCACTAAAAGGAGTTGCCTATACGCCGCTATGTCTGAATTTGGCATCCCCTCAAAACTCATACGGCTGTGTAAAATGACGTTGAGCAATACCACCAGCTCCGTCAGAATTGGAAAAGACCTCTCCGAGCCGTTCGCCACAAAACGGGGTTTCAGACAGGGNCTGGCTTATGCCGATGACACTGACATTATCGGTACCAAAAACCACAGGTTACCACAGGATACCACAGGTTATCATAGATCGATTTTTATCGATTTAGTTTTCACTATTTTCTATATTTTTATAAGTTTTTATTTAACTTGGTCATCCCGCGCAAATCGCGGAAATTTTCAATCGATTTTAAACTGACTTCCCGACAAGTTAGAGACTTGAAATTTTATGCATAGTTCCAATCGCGATGACAATGCAATTTAAAATGTAAATGAATTCTCCATATGGTCCAGGGGTCTTGATTCAAAGGCGGTCAAAAAATAGTAAGATTTATGGCTAACAGAGCGTAATTTGCCAAAGAACGTTAAACCACTATAAAATTGTTAAAGCTGCCGGCGCGCCGCGGCGTTAGTGTAGCAAAGCTATTCCTAGTCTAGATATGAACCTCGTTGTAGGCATCATATCAAGGAGATACAATTAAAAGACTCCAGATGTCGCCCCGCCAGAAGACGTTAAATATTGCGCCTAAATATATGCCATGCTACAGCGGAAATGGACGACACGCCATTTCTTTAAATAAAATTAACTGCTGCTATATGTACATATGTATGTTTATACAAAACGTAAGCAAACAACATTTTTGCGGCGAATTCAGCGTACATGCAGATATTTAAATGCCGGTTTGCTATTCGCGCGACAAGCTTTTTTAAAAACGAAGTAAATTAGTACAAATTGTTAGTAATTTTCATTAGAGTTTGAATAACTCCTTTCACTAAATGGCTTTTAGTAACGTTAACGAGAACTTAACTTATTTTATTTTATTCATTTTAGCGCAGTTTTGACAAACTTTTCTTGCTATAAAATCTTTTGTTACACTACTTTATTTTATTCCTTTGATTGTACAGGTTAAATAAAAGCCTGTTTTTAAAAAATATTTTTTTACATTATTTTATTATTGTTATAAACGCAACTGTAGGAAGACTATCTCTCATATAATATTTTCTCATCAAGTTATCAAGGTAATGCCCGTGTATTTAAGTTGACAATGCAAATACAAATTATCCAAAGAGAAAGTACACCTCATGTACTTTAAAACAGTGCTGAGTTATTAAAAAAAATAGATTTACACATGGTGAGAAGTTGTCAGCTTTCAAAGAAATGATTATTAGATTCCATCGATTAAATAAGGCCATTTTATTAAAAGTGTAATAAATATTCATATGAAACAATTAGAGCTCATTTTACTCACGAACTTTGCATCCTCAATAGCGACTCGTCCCACCCGTCACAAAATTCGGTCCCACCCACCACAAGCTGAAGGAGTTTTTTTTTTATTTTCATTAAAGCATTAAATGAGTCTTAACCCCTGTTTCCAACTTAGTGCTTTTCGCACTAAATTTAGTGATTTTCTTAATTCAAAACGTTGAGTTTGGTGCTTGGTGCGTTTTTTGGTGTTTTTTTTAGTTTGAAGCACCAAAACTGTAGATCTGAAACAAAAATGGAAGTTAAATTTAGAGCAATTGGAAGTTTCGTAAGGAACTTTACAAAAATGGAAACAAAATCATGGCACAATGGCAATCAAATCGAAAGGGCCTATGTTTGTCAAAAAAATATGTGGCAGCACTTTCAATCATGCCAGAATTACGTACGGTAATTTGCCTTTGCCTGCAAAAACGCCCTTGTTGCTGGAACCAGGAATAGATCTTTAGATCTTTAATTCGGGCTGAATTTGACCGTCGAGAAAGAAACATTAATTATGTGGGAATGCACCCATCCATGCAACCCTGCGTTACTGAGATTGACAGGACAGAAAAATAAATGAGGCGGGAAGAGCAGAACAATTGGCACGAACGAGGACATCACAACGTTTTCCCACAACGCAAGCGATTTATTCATTCTATTAATCTGTATAATTATAATTACACATTATTTCACATCAATAAAAGTAATTGCCTTTACTTTTGGGGGCTCGTCCGGGAAAACGTTGGTGTGTATATTTTACCCATATTATAACTGAGTCAACGAGAAGCATTATGCCGAGTGCTTGCAATTGGACTGCTACCCGGTTGCGGGAAAAAGCTAGAGACGTTGGTCTGTCGGTCAGCGGTACAAAGGCGGAACTCTTAGCTCGATTGATGGAACATGACCCAATCGGGGAATGGACGAATGAAAATAGTGAGTGCAACGATGGCGCTCATGAAGAAGATACCACGTGTTTTGGAGTAGCAACTGGCGACGACGACGAATTAGGAGGCCAAGGCAACGAGGAATGCATGCGGAAGAAGTATGAACTTGAGCTAAAAAGACGGCGACAAGAGGCAGAACTCGATAGACGTGAGAGAGAGCTATTAAGACGCGACCTCGAGTTTACCCAGCGTGAAAATTAGTTTCTACGCGGAAGCGGACGGCGAAATTCTGAGCATGACTCAATGCGACGGCAGCAAGATGACACCAGGTTTGACAGACAACGTACTATAACACCTTCGCAAAACGCCATGTCGAGAATGAGCATTAAAGCATTGGCGGATCTAATAGGCGAATTCGACGGGACACCAGATANGCCATGTCGAGAATGAGCATTAAAGCTTTGGCGGATCTAATAGGCGAATTCGACGGGACACCAGATATGTTGAGCGTGTTGAAGAGGCAACTGATTTTCATAAAAACGGCACATGATCTCAGCGATGATGAAGCAAAAATACTAATCGGCATGAAGTTAAAGAAGAGGGCATTCGAGTGGTTGCACTCGAGAGCGGAGCATTTGGAAATGACATTCGATTCATTGGTTACTGAGATTGAGCGTATGTACAAGCCCCAAAGTAGCGTAATAGAGCAGCGGAAGAAATTTGAAGGTAGGCTGTGGAGAAAGGGTGAGTCATTCAGAGATTATGCGCATGATAAAATTGTTATTGGTAATCGCATACCTATTCCAAGTAAAGATTTGTTAGAATATTTAATTGAGGGCATATCTGTCCTGTGCAATCAGGCAAGAATGCAGCAATTCTCAATTCTCGTGTCACTCATAGAAGCATTCGATAGGATCAAGCTAGGAGAATCATTGATATCGACGGAGGTCAGGTCGGTACGCGGTGGTAAAAGTTCGGCAGCGGCGAAAGGTAAACACGAAGACAGCAAAGAGGGTCTAAAAAGAGTTTGTTAAAATTGTGGTCACCCCGATCATATTCGCGCTAATTGTCCAGTCAAGACGCAGGGACCGAAATGCTTTGGCCGCAATGAGTATGGTCACATTGCATCCAAATGTCCACGGAAGCTAGAAGTTCCAAGGCAGTCAAATATTGTGACGTGCACAGCACGGAAGCAGTATACCAAAAACGTAACAATTGGCGAACGTGCCATCGATGCCTTAATTGATACTGGTAGCGACTTAACTTTGATGTACTACGATGAGTACCTAAAGCTCGGGTCTCCTAGACTACGGCGATGCAAGCTACGCTTCGCTGGGTTAGGCTCATCCTCACATACTGCAATTGGTGAGTTTGATACTAAAATACAAATAGATGGGCATCTGTTTCCAATACGAATTTGCGTTATTTCCGATAGGTTGCCAAGCCATCGTCATCTTATTGGAACAGATTTTCTTGAGAAGAGGAACTTTCATGCGAAGAACAGGCTCATTTGCATTGATGCAGACGAAGATGACGAGGTAGCTGAAATTATGCAAATCAATTTATGCGAAGAGGATAGTAAAGAAGAGGTGAGATTGTCTCACATCGAGAACGACGACATGAAGGCGGAGGTTCGAAAGTTAGTTACCGAGTATCAGCCTAGAAAGACGATCGAAACGACGGTTAGCATGAGGCTTGTGCTCAAGGACAATGAGCCCGTGTATCAAAAGGCGAGGCGACTGCCGCCTATTGAAAGAGATATAGTCAACAAGCAGGTTGCGGAGTGGGAGAGCCAGGGAATAGTTAGACCATCTTCATCCGACTACGCCAGTCCCGTGGTACTTACCAAAAAGAAGAATGGTTCACATCGGCTTTGGGTCGATTACAGGCTTTTAAACAGAAAAATCGTTAGGGATCGATTCCCGCTGCCCTTGATCGAAGATCAGCTAGATCGACTCCAGGGCGCAAAGATGTTCAGTACCTTGGACCTGAGGAATGTGTTCTTCCATGTAAGGGTCGAAGACGCTATCGTAAAATACACCTCCTTCGTTGTGCCAGATGGGCAGTTTGAGTTTTTGCGCGTGCCGTTTGGACTCTGCAACTCTCCACCGGTGTTCCAGAGGTATATAAACGCTGTTTTTCGTGACGCCATCCGTGAGGGAATCGTGCTGACATACATGGATGACCTAATAGTCATCTCTGCGGACTACGTCGACGGTTTAGAGCGGCTGAAACGAGTGTTAGGCATTGCATCGATAGCAGGACTCGATATCAATCTGGAGAAATGCCAGTTTCTTACAAGACGCGTCGAGTTTTTGGGCCACATCATTGAAGATGGAATGGTGAAGCCGTCTGAGACGAAGATCGAAGCCGTGAAGCATTTTCCTAAGCCAACAACTGTTCGACAAGTACAAGCCTTCCTAGGCTTAACAGGCTACTTTAGAAAGTTTATCCCAGACTATTCACGAATAGCGCATCCCCTATCCAATCTGTTGAGAACAAATGTTACTTTTAAATTCGACGATGCTGAGGTGCATGCTATGGATGAACTGAAGACGTACTTGACCAGCCGACCAGTGCTAAGCCTATATAGAACAGGAGCTAGGACCGAACTTCACACGGACGCCTCTAAAGACGGGTATGGAGCGATACTATTGCAAGAGGATGCGGACGACGGACTGATGCATCCAATCTATTTTGCCAGCGGTAAGACGACTCAAGCGGAGGAAAGGTATCCAAGTTACGAGCTGGAGGTTTTGGCTATCGTCCGTTCATTGCGCAGGTTCCGGGTGTATCTATTGGGCATTCCATTTAAAATAGTCACCGATTGCAAAGCGTTCACGATGACCATGCTGAAGAGAGATTTGTGCGTTAGGGTGGCACGTTGGGCACTATTCCTTGAAGAATTTCAATACGCCATTGAGCACAGACCGGGACGCAGTCTGAAGCTCGTCGATGCACTGAGTCGCTATCCACTCTCGATCATGTTTGGTGGTTACAAAAGACGAGGACAGCCTTACAACGAGACTAAAAAAACTTCAACGAAGACGACGAATTGAGTGAAAAGATTGCACTAGCTGAGAACGGCGTTCATGATAGTTATAGCATTTGGCGTGGACTTTTGTATAAGGACGTAGGCGATGAATCGCGTATCGTTCTTCCAAGATCGATGCAGGCTCAAATCATTCGAAAGGCACATGAGCGGGGACACTTCGCTGTGGAAAAAACGGCGGCTCTCATCGAAGATGTCTACTGGATGCCAGGTCTACGACAGAAAATCAAGAAAGTAATTCAAAGCTGTTTATCTTACATCTTAGCAGAGCGGAAAGCCGGTAAATCGGAAGGATTCCTCCATCCAATAGACAAGGGGAACTACCCTTTTCACACGTTCCATGTGGACCACTTGGGTCCGCTGCCATCGACAAGAAAATCATATCGCCACATCTTTGCTGTCATCGACGCTTTCACAAAATTTGTTTGGTTATATGCGACTAGGTCAACAACAGCAGCGGAGGTCATCGCACGGCTACGGAATCAAGCATATGCATTTACCAATCCAAGACGCATCGTTAGTGACCGCGGCACCGCTTTCACTTCGAAAGAGTTCGCGGAATATTGCCGTGTTAACAACGACGGGCATCCCGAGAGCTAACGGCCAAATAGAGAGGGTAAACCGGACATTAATCCCACTCCTTACAAAGTTATCTGCCCCGAAACCCGACGAATGGCATCGCCATCTCGAAGTTGCCCAGCGTCTTCTTAATACAACGGCGCACCGAAGTACAGCGGCTACACCGTTTAGATTCCTTTTTGGGGTTGACGCACAATTTAAAGAAGATCAGCAGTTAGTGGATCTACTGGAAAGCGAATCCATCACCTCATTTGATGAGGAGCGAAATGACCTGCGACGTCATGCCCACGAGAAGATCCTGCAGACGCAGGAAGAGAACCGAGCCAACTTCAATAAGAAGTGAAAGCAAGCATCGATTTACTAAGAGGAAGATATGGTTGCCATACGTCGGACACAGCAAGCACCAGGTTCGAAGTTCACTCATAAGTTTTTGGGACCCTACCAGGTATTGAAATGTTTACCGAACGATCGTTATGTGGTACGTCGTATCGGAAACGGCGAATTCCCCAAGCAGACATACACGGCAGCAGACTCGATGAAACTATGGGTTTGCGACGATGATGAATGTCTCTATGGTAGCGACGATAATGGCATCGACGAGCCCAACTTTAGACATAACGAACGTAGACCCTCGGGGTCGAGGCTCCTGCCAGGACGGCCGAGTGTTGGAATGCACCCATCCATGCAACCCTGCGTTACTGAGATTGACAGCACAGAAAAATAAATGAGGCGGGAAGAGCAGAACAATTGGCGCGAACGAGGACATCACAACGTTTACCCACAACACAGGCGATTTATTCATTCTATTAATCTGTATAATTATAATTACACATTATTTCACATCAATAAAAGTAATTGCCTTTACAATTATTATTAATTTGAATCGGCATACCTACAATAAAATTTTATATGCATACAAAGTTCATTGAATCCTCCAATAAAAAATTTGGCCCTTTTTTCGAGAAAAAACGCGATTTTTTTGGGTTTTAGTGCTTTTTCAAATTCAAAACTTGGCAACACTGGCCATAACATTACATTAGCTACATACGAGAAAGGCGCTTTGAACGAAATAAAATTGGGAACGAATCCATCAACTCAACTGTCATCGTTGTCCCACCGCCACTTTCGGAAGATGTAAATTTTCTGTGTAAACTATATAAATAAGTTTTATACTATATTAGATTCCTAATAATCTTTGTAAAAGGTAGTAGATTTTAGACTAGGGTTCTAGATGTGGTAGAAACGCAATTTAGTAGGGATCAGACTTAATATTATTTATGTAATTAGTAGTTAGAGCTAAAAAATTTATATAGGTACACTTGTCAGCTGATTAAGTCAAGAGCCACCTTGATTAGTTTTGGCTATTTTTGGTTTGTTTATTTAATGTTTATATTTTTTTTTATAAACGCTTAGCACTTCACCTAACCAGCGTAATATATATCCAGGATTATCCGGATTTTAGATGTATCCGGACTACAGCGTGTCCGGATTACCGAGATAGCACTGTAGTTATTTATCAATATATAGAGAATTTTTCCAAAATTAATTAAAAACAAGTAAGAAAGTCTAAGTTCGGGCGGAGCCGAACATTAATACCCGGCGCAAGTATTAAATAAATGTTTTTTCACCTTTCCGAAAGCTACCAATAGATGGTAAGACGGGGTGTATCAATTTTGAGTAAATTAGCGTCCTTAAATTTCGAAATATTCCAGTTTCAAGCATTTCTGGAATTTACCGTTATATGAAAAGCGGCCGTAATTTCAGTCCGAATTCAATAATTTTCAACGCTTTGCTTCTATGTGGCAAGCACAATAACCACACCGAGTTTGGTACAAATTGGTAGAACGGTTGCCGAGATACATATATGTGATCGTAAGTGGGCGATGCCACGCCCATTTTCCAAAATTTTTTCACGATAAACGTATTTCTTGGTAAAGAATTGTTGCAAGCGTCAATTTTGAATAAATTAGCTCTAATATTTTCTGATTTATCGATGATTTTGTATTTCTCTAAATTACTGTTATATGGGATGTGGGCGTGGTTATTGTCCGATATTTAAAATTTTCGGCCATTTAGTATGCTGTACCAAGGCCAACAACTGTGCCAAGTATGGAAGAAATTGGTGTAGCGGTTACCAAGATAAACACATGTAACCATAAGTGGGCGTGGCTACGCCCATTTTCTAAAAATTTATAATATTCTTATTTTTCGTCTGAAATTTATTGTAAATATCAATTTTGAGTGAATTATCTTCAGTAGTTACTAAAATATCGCAGTTTTCGTATTTCTGAAAATTACCGTTATATGGGATGTGGGCGTGGTTATTGTCCGATTTTTAAAATTTTCGGCCATTTAGTATGCTGTATCAAGATCAACAACTGTGCCAAGTTTGGAAGAAATTGGTGCAGCGGTTACCAAGATATACACATGTAACCATAAGTGGGCG